GTGGTCGTATTTCATGTGGATCGTTCAAATTCACCAGCCCAAAATTCAACGGTTTAAACATTTCAAAACAAAGAATCACTGCGCGATATTCAATTTTTCCAATATTAAAAAGAATACTCTGGCACGTCAACTTTAAAGGGCTTGTAAGTAAAAAATTAATTGACAGCAGGACTTGTAACTTTGCATGTGTTCTCACAACAGATGTACCAACTTGAAAAACACAAACAAAAACGGGAGCTGGTAGTCCTATTTTTTGGTTCAAATTTCCTAACATATCATACTTGTATATAATCATTTGAAATCGAGCGAAACAATTTCAAAACAAGAAAAAACGTTAACTTCGGTTGCGCCGAAGCTATAATACCCTTCACAAATACAAAGGCCCCTTACAAGAACTTGATTCCGAACGTTCAATTTGTATGGCAGCTATATGATATAGTGATCTGATCTGACCAATTTCTGTGGAGAATAATTTGTTGCCTTAAGCAATAACTCGTGCTTAATTTCGTGAAGATACCTCGTCAAATAAAAAAAAGTTCCATGCAAGCACTTTACTCCGATCGTTCAGTTAATATGGCAGCTATATGCTATAGTCATTCGATCAATACAATTTCTTCGGAGATTAGATAAATGCTTTAAATAATAATACATGCCAAATTTCGTGAAGATACCTCGTCAAATGAAAGAGTTTTCCATACATGCACTTCATTCCGATTGTTCAGTTTGTATGGCAGCTATATGCTATAGTCATCCGATCTGAATAATTTCTTCGGAGATTACATTGTTGTCTTAACTAATAATCCGTGCCAAATTTCGTGAAGATACCTCGTCAAATGAAAGAGTTTCCCATACAAACACTTGATTCCGATTGTTCAGTTTGTATGGCAGCTATATGCTATAGTGGTCCGATATCGGACGTTCCGACAAATGAGCAGCTTCTTGGGGAGAAAAAGAAGTGTTCAAAATTTCAGATCGATATCTCAAAAACTGAGGGACTAGTTCGCGTATATACAGACGGACGGACGGACAGACAGACGGACATGGCTAAATCAACTCAGCTCGTCACAGTGATCATTTATATATATACTTTATATGGTCTCCGACGTTTCCTTCTGGGTGTTACAAACTTCGTGGCAAAATTAATATACCCTGTTCAGGGTATAATTATACATGTGGTGTACTCTTTGTTGCAGTGCATCGCTACAAGTCTCTGCTCGTTGGCTCTCAGAGCAGTTTATATGGTAACATGAAACATTTTATGTGTAACTTCATTAAATTTTTTGTATTTTCCGTTATTGTTCATGTTTTGCATTTTAAATACATTCAAAGATTTTTCATAAAAAGGAACTGTACAAAGCCAGAAAGAGCGATTATTTTGTCACACAGTATTGGTTTGTTTAGATGTACCAATTGTCAACGTTTATGCATATTTTGGTTAGAATTCCCAGCAAATGTTATGTAAACTTTGACTTCCGAAGAGAAGACTTGACTTATAGAGTGTATAAAAAGGAATTAGGTTCATGTTTAGGTTATTTAAAACTTGTAAGTGTTTTGAAATATTAAAATATTTTGTTAAATTTAGTTTTAAACGTTAATTTTGAAAATCTTTTATATCAAAATGTGGACTTTGACAGCGCTCTCTCAAATCAAAGAGTTTCGGATCATTTATCCATGGTAAGTAGATCTCAATAGGAAGAACTATTGATAGTATTTTTTTTTAATTTATCGAAACTATCGATAGTTTTGACGCTATAATGACTAATATTTTGTAGTTTGTGTTCAGTAAGGGAATGTTTCTACGATTGTATAAGCCTACAAGTAGCAAAGAATCAGCTATTTTCCTATGTGTGTGAAACAGCCGTGATCACCTGATCGAATATGCATTTTTTGACACAGAGTTTTAAATAAAAGGATGTAGTTTAACAATTTGTTTATGAACATGTATTTGTAATGGAAATAATAATGAAAACTTTCAAGAATTTTTTCGAAACATAAGATTATTATATATTTATTGCTTTTCCTCACCACCTCTGAGGTTGCAATATAGGCGCGTTACCAATCTTTTTTGGGTGTTCGATTCCCCAGGAGGCTTATATTCACCCATATAATATATACAGTTCTAAAACAATCTACTTTTCATAACAATTATAACTCGAAAAGATATATACATAAAATCAGGTACATGAATCAGGTTCATGAATATTAATTTCATTAACAATATATTTTGAAATATTGAACTTGATTTGAACAAAAATGAAAATAAATATATTAAAATCAGGTACAATTCAATTGTATTCATGAACAAATATAAGTGAAAACAATCTACTTGTATTAATGTAAGTTAACGTAACTAAACTAAAAAAAAAAATATCAATATCTTTAGAAAATAACCAATACAAACTGCACGTGAACGTTTTCCGCGTAATTTTTTGTCAGTTTTATTATTTAACATTATTGAAACTACCTAAAATACAAGTAAAATCTTAGGATTGGATACTTGTTGATTAATACAATGGTTTCTACAGTTGCCGCTTTCCCGCTGGTCTCCTATTATGTGTGGCTTCACAATGATGGGCTTAAATCCTCGTAGCGGTATTCTTTAGCTGTGCCGAGTTATGGGACGAAGGATTTTAGTTAATATTTTTCGGCCATTAGAAGTTCAACTTGTATACCATCCATACCCGCAGCTTACTTTAATTTAGCTTCTTAACTCCAAAAGAAAATAAATTTAAACATACATATGTAATAAATACACTTTGAACAAATTATTTAGATTTGATTGAAATGAAAGGTTTTAGTACCACAACAACGAAGTTGTGTACATCAGCTGTTTGATATGTCGCTGCCGTCTTCAAATTGTTCAAGAAGTTGGTTTCAAGACGGCTTTGTTGACAAAGAAATTTCACTAATTCATGCTATTTATGCGACCGAAACCAGAGAACGTATATCATAGAGAAGGTTCAATTGCGGACCAGCGTGTGAATTGTCAAAACCTAACAAGATTTTATTAGTGAATTTCACCAAATCTGGCTCGGAAGGAGAAATTTTAACAATGGAGAGTGAACAGAGCTGAGAATTCAATGAAAATTATTCTCAGAGACTTGCTTTTGGCTTATATTCTTATACGTTTATATGCAATCATATTTATTGATATGAATATCATTTTGCGAATTTTTATGAATGCATGCAAAACTGATAAGATCTATGAAATTATGGAATTTCGAAATAATATTTATAGTCAATTTGGGCATTTAATAATTTTATTTAGTTTTTACCTAATATACATTCATACTAAATAGTTTATATTATAATAATAGAGATTAAATTTTTTACAATATATGTATGTATATACATCTTTTATCATATTAATCTTATATATTCATATGTATGTACGTATGTATTTGAATGTACGCATTCAGAAATTCAAATCATGATTTTATCACTTATCAATACACTATATGTGCGCGCATTGATTTATATGTACACGCATATATGTATTTATACATAAAATTGCCGAACAAATAATGCATACACAAACCAACATACATACATATGTATATGCGTACACATGTTAATATGTCACCCGCAAAAACTACAAACATTGTTCTACAAAAACAACAATCGTCACAAGTTTATAGTAAAATATTCAACAACAACATTTTCATTCATGAACGCAGGCGTACTTCTAACAAGCAACCTCGCTTCATTCATAAAAACAGATACCCTTACATCTCACCGAGCATGCTTTTGTCAACAAGCGTCTTTTCACGACGATGGCAAAAGCTAAAAATCATAAATTGAACAAATTTCTGATATTCCCTCTGGAAGGGAAAAGTTGCAACCACGCACGCCCACAAAACACAGAAAAAATTGACAAAACTGGCAACAAAGCTTTTGTCGATTTAAAATATTTTACAATTTAAATTTACAATTTTAAAATATTTTTCCGTGTCTCATAAAAATCTGCGTCAATATGTATGCATGCTCATATATAAACATACATATTTACGATGATTTGTGGGCAAAGCTGTTAGAGCGGCAAGGGAAGCGGTGACAATCGGCGGCCGTTCGTTAATATTTTTTCGGCACAGCTCGGATTTTCTACCAACAACACAATGTTGTGAAGCTTTGTCGTCGCGTCAGTCCTTCGACACAGTGACTCTTTGACAAGAAAACAAAAAACGTGAGCTTCGGCCATTGGTTGTCCGTGGCAACGGAGATTTCCCATGAAACAATGAATGTACATATTTACACACATACGTTGCATATAGACAAATTAACAATTATAATGGGTACTTTCATATTTGTTTACATGCACACATAATTATACATATACTCACATATATATGTATAAGAATATTTGCGACCGCTTGGTCTTTTCTTATGGGGTTATGTCAAGCAAGAGGAGTACAAAATCAAACCCAGAAATCTGACTGAACTGAAGCAGTCCATTAAATAGATATTTGAGGCAATCCCGACTTGAACCCTCCAGCCCGCATTAATTTGCTAATTAGGTGTCGCATATGCGTGGCCAAGCATGGAGGAATAAATAATTGTATAAAATAAAATTAAAATTTTCTATACAATACAACAAAAATTGATAAAAAAGAAACTTAATACGGTTAATTTTTGTAGCACGATTCGTGAGCCGCCCTGTATATGCAGAATATCTTAAAATTATATGCAAAGTCGTTTGCGCATTGTAAATATACGAATTTGTAAGCGTACATTTCTTAACATTGAATTTAGCATTATTTTTCTCATTTAACATTCAAAATGCTCAATTCTGCTAGTTTGCGCTCCGCAGGGGTAAAATTCTGGTGAAATCAGCTTATAATGCACTAATGTTGGCGAGTAACCCTCCGTCAAGAGGAACATTTTGACAATCGGCACACCATGAACCTTCTCTATGATATACGTTCTCTGCCGAAACTAGCACGTACATATTGCAAATACGAAATTCAAACCACCAAAATGACAGTTCATTGCTAGCAAAATATGGTATGAAATATATATGGTCATCAACTGCTAAACAATAGCAGGGTGCAGTCTCCATAGTCAAATTTGCTAACAATTCAAATTTTCAGCAATCATTAATTGCCTGTCGAAATGCCCCGTAAGGATTACTGTTTATTAAACTCAGCGGTATTTATTTTAATAATTATAAAAGGTTGATTAACTACTGTTGTAAGTAATAATTAATTCAATTGTTATTAATATGACTTCTATGAATGTAAAATTATCTCCAATATGTTTTTGTAAGCTACTATTTAATTTGAAAACGGTTGTTTGAGCTGTGTATACAGTAAAAAAAGGTAGGTACTAATGTTCTCAACAAATTTTTTTTTTGGATAAATGTTTTGTGATTACAGATAACTATACTATTGTAATGTGTAATTATTGTATGAATTTTACCGAGTTCTAGAGGAGTACTTCATATTTAATATAATATAACTGTATAGAGAAATTGATTTGTGTTAACATTCGACAGCGATTTAACATAGCAACCGGGAAAACTTGAGTATACCGTCCCAGGCTTTCGGTGATAAAATGTGTATGAGCAGATAGAGGAGATCCTCCAGATCAAGAATATATACAAATATAGCCGCGGGAAACTTTTACGTTTTCGAGATATTTACGTTTAAAGTTGAAAATTTCAACTATTTAAAGTACACATTCTTACGATCTCAAATGAATTATACACTTTTCCACTTTTATATCCACTAACACTTCACTAATTCGTTTGTACACATTAATTTTACATTGTATAGCGCAAAGATAGTTTAATTCAATTTTTAAATTATTGTTAAATTCTATTAATTCTGACAATAACAAAAGAGTTGAAAAATTTCAAATAACCACCTTGTATGTTGCCTTTCAACAATCAGTACAAATGATTGTGCCGGCGCAACATGTTTTTCTATCAGGGGTATGAGCACCTTAGCAGACCTAACCTGGAACTTCAGTTCCCTCGACAGTCGCGTCTAAGTAACCGGATTGGACCCGGATTTTGATCCTCGAAAATACTTCATTACATTATCAGGACATATTTACAACCACAAGTCGCTGCCATCTTCCACCATTCCCAACACCCAGTAACCTTCCACCCTCCTGCCTGAAATAAAAGAAATATATAAGTAATTATGTATTAATGGTTTATTTTTAATATTGGGTGGGCTTTAGTTTAGCATCCCACGATTTCAGGGTTAAGAGAGGTATGGATAGAGGAGATTCTCCAGATCACGAATATATTATATATAACTATTGCCGCCGGAAACTTATAGTTTTCGAGATATTTGCATTTTAAGTTGAAAATTTCACAAATTTCATTATACAATTTCTCGATTTGTGGTTATCTTTTCTTTTATATTATGCACTTATTATACACTAACTTTTCACTTCAATGTTTCTACATATTTATTTTATATTAAATATTTAAATATTTGCTTAAAATAAGCATTTAATTTTTACAGTTTTCGTTATATGAACAATAACAAATGGGTTCCATGTTGACAGCTAACAAGTGTTGCCATATCTATAATATTATATATATAATATATATATATATATATATATATTTTTTTTTTTATTTTGCAAGCGAATTCTTCTATTGATAAATTATGGTATTGGATTGGCCAGGGTTACTTTTTTAGAGTGCGGCCGCAGGCCGCCAGTGCGGAAAGAAGTTTGACGCGATTAAATTATGAACACCACGGTGTTGGACCGACCAGGGTTATTTTTTTGAAGCGCGCCCGAAGGCCGCCAGGGCAGAAAGGAGTTTGACGCGATTGAATTATGGACACCCCGGTATTGGACCGACCAGGGTTATTTTTTTGAAGTGCGGCCGAAGGCCGCCAGTGCAAATAAGAAATCTTAACAAAAACAAGTAAGGAAGGGCTAAGTTCGGATGTAATCGAACATTTTATACTCTCGCAAAGTCAAATGGTATACTCGTTTGAGATTTCTTTGTGGATTGGCTGATATTTTCGGTAGAAGGTCAACTATAGGCACTGGGGTCCACATATTTAGTACTTAGGGGCTTGAACAGTTTTGGTTCGATTTAGACAATTTTTGGTCACAAGGTGGCGGTTCCTATAAAGTCATCTCATACCATCCCAGAGATAAAATTTAATCTCTCTGGCGTGTTTAGTGCTTGATTTATCGCGCTTTTAGTTGTTTTTAACAGTACCGTTATATGGGAAGTGGGCGGAGTTGCCACCCGATTTCAACTCTTTTCACACCGTCAATAGAAGTGCTAAAAACATTTGCTTCTAGTGAATTTTGTTATTATAGCAATATCGGTTTAGGAGATATGCACATTAAACCTATTAGAGGCGACACCACGCCCACTTTAAAAAAAAAAATTGTAACTGCAGATGCCCCTCCCTAATATGATCCTGTGTACCAAATAACAGTCTTGTATCTTATTGCGGAGCTTAGTTATGGCAATTTATTTGTTTTTGATTAATGGCGTTTTGTGGGCGTGGCAGTGGTCCGATTACGTTCAGCTGCAATACCAACCGTCTCACGGTACCAAGAAACATGTCTACCAAGTTTCATAAAGATATCTCAATTTTTACTCAAGTTACAGCTTGCACGGACGGACAGACAAACGGACGGACAGACAGTCACCCGGATTTCAACTCGTCTCTTCATCCTGATCATTTATATATATATAACCCTATCAAACAACCGGTAGGTGAACTAAACTATTATACTCTGTAGCAACAGGTTGCAAGAGTATAAAAAAAAAGTAATGTTAAAGACGGTATATAACTCTTTATAAACTTAAATTTTTTAAGGATAATTACAATAACAGGGATATTTTGAAAATTTGATATATGAATACATATGGCGTAAAAATATATTTTGATTGCTTTCATTCGTTTGGATATGGCAACACTTATTATCTGACAACATGGAACCCATTTGTTATTGTTCATATTACGAAAATTGTGTAAAAATAAAATGCTTATTTAAAGCAAATATTTAAATATTTAATATAAAATAAATATGTAGAAACATTATAGTGAAGTGTTAGTGTATAATAAGTGCATAATATAAAAGAAACGATAACCATACATCGAGAAATTGTAAAATAAAATTTATGAAATTTTCAACTTAAAATGCAAATATCTCCAAAACTATAAGTTTCCGGCAATAATTATATATATTCGTGATCTGAAGAATCTCCTCTATCCAACCATACCCCTCTTAACCCTGAAATCGTGGGATGCTAAACCAAAGTTTTCCCTTAATATTACCTTTGTTTTTTTTTCATTTTGCCAAATTTGCATTCAACGATCTGTACTTTTTTCCCAGGGCCACCAATTTTACCCATTTTCTCCTGATGGTCCACTTGGTATAATACTACAGCTTAGCGGCAGTAGTTATACCAGTTACATATTGTAGCGCTTGATAAAATAGATTCCCTGACAATACTGTATTTACGCACTTCCTTATGTGGCCAATGCGATGAGAAGAAAAACATTATGTAAAATATAAGGTTGGAAGGTATCTCCCTTCCGCTTTTTTGTCTTTTGAATTTCGCGGCTATGTACAAAGCGCTACAGAGCTCGTATCTGGCAACACTATACATAATTTAAAAGGTCTTGACATAACCTACAAAACAACGCTATGCATGATTAGTTTGGATATTGCGTTCAACAGTTATAGATGTGTAAACATGGAGTTCACTAACGCCGAAATTCGCGCTATTTTAAAGTTTTCCTTCGTTAAAGACAAATCCGCTAGAGAAACGTTCCGTGAGATTAATGGTGTTTTGGGGGATGGTAGTCTATCACTTCGAACCGCGGAGGAATGGTTTCGACGATTAAGAGCCGGTGAAAACGACACCATGGATAAGCCAGCCGGCGGAAGACCTGTGACGACAAATACCGATCAAATCATGGAATACATCGAGTTAGACCGGCATATGGCATCTCGTGACATCGCCCAGGAGATGGGAGTTAGTCACCAAACCATTTTGAACCATCTGCAGAAGGCTGGATACAAAAAAAAGTTTGATGTTTGGGTGCCGCATAATTTGACGCAAAAAAACCTTCTGGACCGAATCAACGCCTGCGATATGCTGCTGAAACGGAACGAACTCGTCCCATTCTTGAAGCGGATGGTGACTGGCGACGAAAAATGGATCACATACGACAATATCAAGCGAAAACGGTCGTGGTCGAAGACCGGTGAGTCGTCCCAAACAGTGGCCAAGCCGGGATTGACGGCCAGGAAGGTTTTGCTGTGTGTTTGGTGGGATTGGAAGGGAATCATCCACTATGAGCTGCTCCCATATGGCCAGACGCTTAATTCTACCATCTACTGCGAACAACTGGACCGCTTGAAGCAGGCGATCGACCAGAAGCGTCCAGAATTGGCCAACAGGAAGGGTGTAGTGTTCCACCAGGACAACGCCAGACCACACACTTCGTTGATGTCTCGTCAGAAGCTACGGGAGCTCGGATGGGAGGTTTTATCGCATCCACCATATAGCCCGGACGTAGCGCCAAGTGATTACCACCTGTTCCTGTCCATGGCGAATGCCCTTGGTGGTGTGAAGTTGAACTCAAAAGAGGCTTGTGAAAAGTGGCTGTCCGAATTCTTCGCAAATAAGGAGGGGGGCTTCTACGAGGAAGGTATTATGAAGTTGCCGTCTAGATGGAAACAGATCATCGAACAAAACGGCGCATATTTTAACTAAATCCGATCACTGTAACAGTTTTTATAAAGCATTGAATGAAGAGCAAAAAAGCGGAAGGGAGATACCTTCCAACCTTATATTTCAAGGGTATTTTGGCGTTCTCGAATCAATTCTCCGTAGATATACAATAGTTATCGCCGGTCGCGTACGGCAGGATCCTTTACGGCATCTAAACGTTCCGACAGTACTATTCCCCGCTATACAGAGCACCATCGGGATTTTATGCATTCTGCAAATTTGTTGGGTTAATATTGTTGTTGTTGTAACGGGCCGCTTATGCGGTAAGTTTCAATTTGGTTGTCGTCGGCGTCATCTAATTGGCGGTCCAGGAAACGAGTTGTTGACGGGGCTGTTGTGGGAGTTGGACCATAGGGAAATGGGTGTTAGATGAGGGGTTGTTGTTGTTGTTGTGGTTGGGCATGCTCCACATATATGTGGTATGTCGGGGCCGATTCTGGATAAATAGAAGTTTAACCAGCTAGAGGACTCAACACGAAGTTGCGCAAGGATGACTAGAATCTCGGGGTAACTTGAGTTCTTTGTCTGCAATGGGTGATGGGTGGTTTGACTTCAAGTACGCGATTCACTGAGAGGGAGTTAGTGAAGGCATTGATGGCTTCATTGTGAATGGCGTTCAGTGCGTGTCTAAAGTTAGTTGCGTCCTAAGCTTCAAGCAAACGGCTGCAAGGATGGTTTCTGAAGAGGAGTTCATTATGTTCCTTGACCGGAAGCATGCATGCCTCGCTGCGCAAATCACATCGGAGACATCAAAAAACATCCTTTAATAGTCCGGAATGAAGAATTTTGACACGGCTTCTTCGTCTGCGGATCACCACATCCAAGCAACTATATCGTTGCGGCGTA